TATTGCTTCATGATTCATCAAATCCGACGCGGAAGGAATATTTTGGCTAGTTGCCAAGTGCTTACGATCAGACTTAGAAAAAATAATATCCGCTCTGCTTAATTTTATTTTTTCTTCTGACTGAACTTCGCTTTTCAGAAATTCAATTATTGCATCAAGACTCGAAATGTTTCGTTCAGATTCAGTAATTTTTCGTTGTCTTTCAAACGATCGCAATACGTGAATAGGAATAGCACTTTCCACAAGAGGATATAAAATTGTTCCACACTGATCAGTCGTTACACCAAGACTGCTCAGGGCTCTAAGTTGTGTTGAAAGTTTGTTATACAAACTACTCAAAGAATCCTGCTTCCTTTTCGCTGCGTTATCCAAAACAAGTTTTATTAACTCTCGAACATAAAAATCAATTAAAAGTTCTTTACGCCCATATCTCTCAGTAAGGCTTTCTATAGCCAAAGGATAATTTTCGTTCGTCACCGGAAAAGATTCTACAATATCTCTAGCTTCTGATTTAATTTTTGTTGACTGTATCAAATAATGGAATTTGTCTGCATTCGTTAAGTTATTATTTTCATGTATGTTTTTAAACTGATTCCAAAACGTAAGCCAATTTTTTAAATCACCTGCGAACTTATAAAGTTCTACTTTCGGTAGGCGTTGGCACAAAGTTTTACATGTATTTTCATCAGTAACTAATTTCTGACTACTCTCTGACGATGTATTTTGGATTTCGTTTAATTTACTCTTAATATTATCGAGAAATCGTTCCGATTTTAACTGTATCCTAACAGCCTTCTCTCGATAGTCCTCTGTTATTTCAAATTCTGTTTCGAATTCTTTATCATCAGTTATAGTATCTAAATAAGCACCGTGCGTCAATTCTAATGTTTCTGCCTTTTTCTTGAACAAATAAAAACACATTTCTGCTTCTTCATAATCAACATTATCATCATTTAAAAGTTCATCTAGTCTTTTATATGCTTTAGTAAAAGCTGAACGTTGCGCAGTTTTGTTTCTTTTCATCACTTCCATTTTGTCATAAAAGTTTAAAATATTCAGATAAAAATTAGGCAAGAAAAGTATTTTAAACTTCAGTAAAACAATAATCAATAACTTCAAAACGGAAGTATAAGGTAATCAACTTACCCTATCTATTCTTTCATCCGACATGTTTCCAACAAACACGCCCACCCGGGGGCGCCAGAAATGTCGTGAACATTGTGAGTTTAAGAGAAAATAATGAGCGGTTTGTTAAAATTTAGATCAGATGAAAGATCTTTTAATATATAGCATTTTAATACTATTTAGCACAGTGTAATAAGTTCATTTTACAGTACGCAACATCCTCAAAAATGATCGTTACAACGCAGTTCGATCATCCATCTTTTTAACAACAATCTCTCTCGTTGCCATTCCGTAACAGAGAAACTTACCTCTCATGGAGTTCGATAGTGGCGCGACAGATGTGCATTATCTTGTTTAAAGATGTTGTCATGCATGTCCTGCAGATAGGGTGCAGTCACGACCCTTAACATATCAAAAATGTAACAATTGTTGGCATTAATGGCTATGCAAACAAGAGTTGCTTGGGATGTGTGCCCAGTGATACCCCATACTAGCTTGCCAAGTGCTGGGCCCCTATGATGATGGCAAATGCAAACTAGGTACATTCTTTCTCTGTAGGGCCCCCCCTACACGCAGTTGCATCATTAATCTGAATGCAAAACTGGGATTCATCTGAAAAGAGAATGTGGTGCCAGTGTTGTCATTCATTACATTACTGTAGATACTTCTGTCTCTGCTGCAATATCAAGAGAATCCACAACAATGGTCAACATGCTGACAGTCCATGGTACTGCAGAAATTGTTATGCTGTCTCTACTGACCATTAATGTCCTTCATGCGAATAAAGTTCGTACCTTGGACGTACGATCAGCCAAGGCCGAGAACACGTCTGTCCTCTTCAGCCTTAGTGGCTTGAAACGGCATTTAGTATCGCCTTCCTGGATCCATGGATTCCATAGTTACCTGGCCATCATGCAGTGATGGTTCATTTTGTAAAGATTAATAAGAAAATGTTCCTTTTAACTTCACTTTGATTTTTTTTCATTTCATTGTTATTAATAATATTGTAAAAACATCTTGTTATGTCAGAGCAAAGTCCTGTATTAATTGTTTTACTTCAAGTTAATATTAATTGGATAACAAAGCAATTATATCATATTCCTTTCTGATAACTTATATAATGGCAAATATAAACCAAAATAAATATTCAGAGGTAGGGGAGTAGCTTCAATATTAGAATAATCTTTTAGTAATTTTTATGCTTAGCTTCAGTGGTACTACTTACTTCTTTAATCAAGATATATTATGAACAGTAGTATATTTTTATTAAAATGTTTATTTGCATATTAATATAAGAAATTTTTACCATTAAATGTTTAACCACTTCACTGTTTGCCTGGAGAGAGACTGGTCGATTTGTCATCAGTAAATTTGAACCCTAAGTACAATTATTTGTGTATTTTAAGATGGTCATTGTCCTTTTCATATAATTTGAATTACAGTAGAATTCCTGAAATCTGCAAAGCTTGGGACCAAAGGTTGTGCGGATTTTAGGATTTTGTGGATTTCAGAACAGAAAAGATAAATCATAATATTCAGACTAAAAGTGCAAAATAAATAAGGCATATTAGATACATTTAATTAAATTATTATACACTATTACAATAATTTATTATGTACATTAATTATTACATATGTAAATTGATTATATTATATGTATTTATTCATTTACATTAGTGCTTACGGATATTTAAAAGCATTAGGATGTATTCAATGATATAAAAATAAGGATATTAATAAATCATAAAATATTTCATTTTTCTACATGTTCAAACATTTTTTCTGATGAAGGTTTGTTTAAACTTTAGGTGCTCCAGGTACGTTTTTTTTTTTTTTTTTTTTTTTTTTTTTTTTTTTTTATTATTGTTGTAAGTCATAATCTCTTGCTCTGTGGCACAGCTTTGTTCTAAAAATTTTAGGTATTTTTAAGATATTTTCTCACTTCTATCAAATTCACTATCTGTGTCGGTGTCAGAATTGTCTTCTTGCTGTGGCGAGTTCAAAACAGAGCCAATGATTTCACCATCAATTATCTGATATGCCAGCGTTGGCTCATCTGAACACATCATCCATTCAACAATATCTTCTTCTTGCAAAACCTCCTCATTTATTTTTTCTTTTGAAAATAAAAGCAATTCTCTTGCTTTAATCCTTGCTGCACTGACCCTAAAACCAGAAAAATTGCCAATTACCGTCAATGCAACTTGTTTATGTTTTCATTGGTTGGATCAATGATGTAGTATTTGTGGGCAAAAAAAGGGCAATGGCATTATCATGTATTAAAATACTTGCATCTGAATGTGCAGAGCAGTTGTCTAACTATAGTAAAATCTTGTAATTTGATGGTAACCCCACTCTGTTACAATGCCTTCTAGCCTCTTTAATGAAATGCTGCATAAACCATTCAGTCATAAGTTGTTTTGTGAACCAGGAATTTTTATTACTCCTGTAATCAGGTAAGATTTTACTCCTTCAGCTCTGGGATTGGTGCTTTTACCCACTACCATGGTTGACATTTTAAGTTCCAGCTGCATTGCTGCATACTAAAATGGTAACTCTTTCCTTAGCATCTTTCCCATCTGACGGTGCACTTTCTTCGCTTGTCACAAATGTCTTTCTTGGCAAACATCACCAAAAAAGGTCCAGTCTCGTCCATATTAAAAACCTCTTCTGGGCTAAAATTCTCTGCAACTAAACAAGAAAACTCACCAATAAACTCCTCTGCAGCATCTTTATCTGCTGAAAGTTTTTCCCCACATGCTTTCAGATGATGTATACTGTGTCTCTGTTTAAATCTGTTCAGCCAACCACTGCTGAAATTGCACGGCTCCTCTTTTTTTAAATCAGCCTGAATCTGCTTCGCCTTTTCTCTCAGGAATGGTCCTGAAATCGGTACTCCAACACTACGCTGCAGCCGGAATCACTTGTACAAGACAGCATTGAGGTTTGCCGATTTTGCCTCATGCAAAGATTTTGGATTCCGGTATTAGAATCACTGTTGCTGTAAAATTTCAACAGTTTTTCTTTATTTTTTCCGTATATCATACACAGTCCGTGTCGCTATTCCATATGATTCTGCTATAAAGCGAGTAGTAGCACCTGCCTCCATCTTTTGAGAATTTCCACTTTTTGCACTACCGTCAATGCAACGTGTTTACGTTTTTCAATGTTGCAAACAGTAAAATCATGAGTGCATTTCTTAGCTGTCATTGTATTAAAAAGTGCTGAAATTTAAAATATTTTTAATAGATCAGCAAAATATCCGGATAAAAAAACGGCAGCACTAAACAATCTTGTGAAATAACAAAGTTCAGAAAATACAACAACGTGAATCATGAACTTGAAAGAAGAGTTGAGTGAATCGTCTGCTTTTTACCTCGATGCAGATTGCAGGGGAAAAACACTTTTATTTTATCGTAATGTCAATAATTTGCTGTTTCCGTTATGACTCATTATTATTTGGTAATTATGATGTCATTATTCGGTAAGTATTTTTTTTTTTCCGATGTTTCGTACTCCATGTTGTAGTTTCCGGAACCTATAAACTCAATGTTTATATTTTGAGAGGCAACGCGGATTTCAGGTCGGCGGATTTTCGGGATTTGACTGTATTAAAATTGTTTAAAACTACTAACAACACTTTTGAAATTGACGAGTGTCTCGGGGCAAACTGTGGAAAATGTTAAATTTTCCAAAAAAAAAAAAAAAAAAAAAAAAAAAAATTGCCCTTCTTGTTTTAAAAATAATGCGAGCTGAATTCATGGATAGGCTTATCATTGTTTATTGAAATCTACTGAATTTTCTGCATATACTTATACAGATGTCTGTGTACATTGTATCTGGAACACTGCATATTGTGCTATTTTCTATTCCAGGCTTTTAAATTCATTTGCAGAAGAAAATGCTACTGAAGATGCTGTATATTATCTGGGTGAGGCATTAAGAAAAGGTGTGATTAGTCTTGATCTTTTCTTGAAGGTATGTTGTTTTTCTTATTTACTAAACAATTACATTTGTAGCATTATGGAAAGGAATTTATGCTGATTTGCTGTAAATATGGCATCTTAAGTCAGATGGTGTTTGGGAAAAGTAATTAACTGCTCTCAACTGTTATTATCCAGGGGTGGATTAAAAGAACTCTCTAACAACAACAACATAAACAACAACAAAAATAAATAAATAAATAAATAAATAAATAAAAACTTATTTATTGCAAAAAATGCTATTGCAAGACATTAGCCTTACATAAAATTGTTTATGAAAAATACAAAAAGTGTTTGAGCTATTAGAAATGACAGTAGCTAATGCCATAGTGATATTTAGGAGTTGTTTTTATAAGCAACAGTGTGTAATACAATTATCCAAAATAGGAGAATATAAATAAGCATTCTTAGATGGATTTATATATATTTGCTTGCTTATTTTCCCTCATTTTCTTATTAGTTTTACTACTTGAAAACCAGGAGGAAAAAATACACTGTGTATACTATTTCTGAAGAGCCTTTAAATAATGAACATAGCACATTAAAAAGCATACATAGTAAAGATATACTAATATTAATACATTATGTATTTCAAATGACCTTTCAATTTCAATAATATTCTATTTACTTATACAAAATATTTTCGTATTTGTGCATATATTTTACACTGTTACCATAAATTAGAAGTTTCTAAATAATATTCTGAGAAAACTGGGGTGGAAATACATGAGGGAGAAAAAATATGGTAAATAAAAATTGTTCTAAATGTAATGTAAACATTCTTAAATCATCCCGTAAAGGTAAACTGCTCAATCATAAAAATAAAACAAGTGTACAACCATTAGCTTCTATTTTTATATCGACTGCTGTCGAAATATAAAAGTAATGTAAATTAAAACAGCTTATGCTACCTGAAAGGAAGAAGAAAAGACAGAAAACTTTGAATGCTGATTTTAAAATAAATTTAAACTCCAGATTAAACTGCTTGAAAAAAAAAGGTAATAATATTTTTTGTTAATTATAATATGGGTTATTCTTCATTCCTATTTTTTTTTTAAATTGCCTTCAGATTAACCCTGATTCTTGATGTTTCGTCAGGTAATAAGGATTTGACTCTATAGAGAACTAAAAGTTCCTTGAACTTAAATCATATGCCAAAGTTTTACCAGTATAAGTAGATGCAAACCTACTTATTTTTTTTTTATTTTGATTATTCCTTTAAGCCATACATTGATTGATCCATATTTCTTCATAAGAAATATGATTATCTGCTTATTTTCAACAATGTTTCTATACAAAAACAAACAAACAAAAAGGATGAATATTCAGATGTGGCTTTATTATTATTAAATAGTCAAATAAAATTATTGATCATTTAGTTGGTTATGTGATTAAAAACTAGTTTCTGTGTATGTATTCTCGTAGCCAATTGACTTTATGCTATTTGTAAGGCTTACTAAAATTAGCAATATTACAGTATGTTTGTGTTCTTTAGATTTAAAATGCATTTTAAATAAGTTTGGTTGTTTATGGCAGTTTTATTCTGCAGCTTAATTTTGTACAATATATGGGATACCAGTGTTACCTTTACCAGAAAATAATAAGTAATTTTTTGTAGCATGTTCGTGCCCTTTCGTGGAAGCAGTTTATGCTGAAGGCACTAATGCAGAAATGTCGGGAGAAGGCCAACCTTCCTCACTGATGGTAGAAGTTCCAACAACAGTAAAACTTCCAGGAATTATGAACTGTAAAATAAAGGTTTCAATTTTATGTTCGAGGAATTAAAGGCTTTACGCAGGAGTAAACATATTTCATTTTATTAGAACCTTGTATAATATACATTGTTTGACTGTAATAAATATTTTAATTTAAATAAACCTGTTATAATATTTCAGTTTTCTTGTGCAGTTATGAAATGCCTTATCAAATTTTCAGTTTGCGTATTTAAATGAAGTTGTGAAGAAATTTGCTGAGGTGTAGGCAATAAAAATATTTACTGTGCTTAGAGAATATTTTATAAAAATAGTGTTTTAGTTAAACAATAACAAAAAAATTCTTTTGTTATATTTGAGGATCTGTATCAAAAATGATAAATATATAACACCTCCTTTTGTGAGATCTATACTAAATTAAATATAATTTGAAGTACAGGGAAGAAATGCTAGCCAAATATTATCCTTATCTTCATATTACTTTTCCTAGATCTGATTGTTATTAAACTGCACATGACTGTTAACCTCTCACAGGCCCACAATGGAATGATGTTATGTTTTATAACATTAGCTTTTTTCAATTATACACAGGTTGCTTATAATCTGTTGGAACAAACCTCAACAGGTGAGAGAACATTTGTTTATCATTGTAGAATTCATGATCACATTTTTAGCAGTTAGGCACTTGGGGGGGGAGCACTTTTCTTTTTCCTACACCTCATCTGGCGCAGTGCAGTGACATATGATGATGTTTGCCTTGTCTTCTTTTGTGCACTGATTTATTCCAAGTTGTGCATTACCCAAGTACTAGATAATTTAGCTGTGAATATTGCTTAAAGCATGATGTATACATTTCAGTGAAAATAAGATCATTTAGTATGTCTGAGATGATGATTAAGGAGAGAAATAAAGAAGTGAGACCATTGTCTCTTTGCCAAAAGTCACTTGAGTGATTTCTAAGCGCTCCAGAGTTAAAATGAATTTGAGCATTGACTATGAAAAGTCATCAGTAAAGCAAAACCATTTCATAACTGCAGAGCACATGTAAAGGAAATTCAAATGTGAAAAAAAAATAATGATGAAGTTTTTAAAAATCTCAACTTTAAGTAGTGTTCTATTTCTACAGGTTCTTGAATTTGGAATGGTTGATGACAACACTTGATAAAGAATGAAAACACAATTTATTAGCCAGTATTACTCAAGACAGCTTCCCAAACATGTTTACAGTCGTCAAAAAACTATGACAAACATGCTGAAATAATCGGCAAAGCAGCCATCAGGCTATTATGGAGAAGACAGCTTCACGGCGAAGCACTCGAGTACAGTCGCTGACTCTGTTTGGTCGTTCTCGGAACTCAACATACTCTCCACGTGACAACTAGCAATGCACTTGACGATAGCCTCAACGATGCAGACTGTGCACCAACTCGCAATACACTGATGAGACACCTCGACACTATACTGCTACTTCGCATACAGGCAGGGTTTATATAGCTTTTGGCTTGCCTTCAAGAACATTCTGGGCCAAACTGGTAAAAATTTGTTCCAGAATGTTCTCCATCTGTCTATGGCTTGTCACCAATTTGTCACCAAATGGATGACCCTAAATCTGCCTTGCGGGGAAGCTATCCTACCGCAGTTGGACATTTCGTAACAATTGCCCCCTCCCAAGGACTGCACATCCCGGGCAGTACAATTCTTGATCAGAAGCCAGATTCGATACAAACAAAAGGTAATAAAACAAACAAATAAGATAAATAAATAAATATTTACACTATTTACAAGTTATATATACAAAATAACCACATAACAATTTAAAATTTTATAAATTAAAATTCAGAATGAATTTCAATCTCGGACTTTTCGTTAAGTTATACTTGGCTCAAATACTCTTTCACTGCAGTCCTCAGATGTATTTCTGTTTTGCATATCACAGTCTGAAGATTTAGTACTTTCTTTCATCCACAGAAAGATCTGAAACAGTTTGTTCACCACAATACTCTTAATAATAGTTTATTCACATCATGTGCACAGTTCACCTCTGATATTGTTAACAGTTGGTATATGCTTATTTTCTTCTGTTTCCTGGGAACCAGTTCCAAACTTTGCATTAGAGTTATGAATGAAATCTGATTCTTTACAAACAGAAGTATTCTGTTCTAGAAGTATCTTGATTTAGAATCAAGTTTGTGTCTTTACCACTTGTATTATGAGACACACATTTAGTTTGTGAAGTCTGTGTATTTTCTTTCTATACTGGAACACTCTGCTTAAGCTGTACATCAGCTTCTCCCATCTCTGCATCATCATGAATTTTCAGATGGTTCAATACTTTCTAACTGTGACTTCATAACTTTACTATTAGTTTCTACCAACTTAACAGTCGCATTTTCACTGTTTTCCGTGTCTACTTCAGGCACTTCAGAAGCAGAAACTTTATTTCCATGAATTACTTCTTCACCTTTTACAGATGCTTTACTATCCACTTCTTTTATTTCATCTTTACAACCAGTAATATCACTTTCTTCCATTTCCTCTTCAGGCACTTGAGAATCAAAAGCTTCTTTCCCATCATTCATTTCTGTATCTTTTCGATCTCTTCCTTTAATCTCATTAGATGTTTCACCCTTCATATCTTCATCTTTCTCAGACACTTCATTAGCTCCTTTCTTCAATTCTTCATTTTTTTACTCTTCAGGTGCCACTTCTGTCATGTCCATATCTTCTTTTATGACTCCACTTTCTTCTGTAAGCTCCACTTTCATTTGTTGCTCTTGCAGCTTTTCTTGGCTGGCATCTAGTTCTTGACACAAATTTATTTCGATCACTAGCTTTTCTTTTCCAACCTTCATCTCTTCATATCTGGGTTTCATCCTCTTCAGTCGGACTTTTATCTCGGCCTTGATCTCTTCCAGTATGCCTTTTATGGCTGCTAAGAAGTCCATGAACTTCATTTCCACCACCATGGCTTTTTTCTGTAGGCTTTCCTTGTATTCACTCGTAAACCGACTCCTGACACCAGTTGTTGTGTTTCTACGGGTTCATGGATTTGGAGTGATCAGTGATAACACTTGATAAAGAATGAAAACACAATTTATTGGCCAGTATTACTCAGGACAGCTCCAAAAACATGTTTACAATCATTGAAAAACTACAACAAACACGCTGAAAAAACAGCAACACAGCTATCAGGCTATAATGGTGAAGACAGCCTCACAGCAAAGCACTCGAGTACAGCTCCTGAATCTGTTTAGTTGTTCTCAGAAATCAACATACTCGTAATACTCTCCACGCCACAACTCGCAATGCACTCGACGATGCATACTTTCTATGCACCAACTCGCGATACACTGATGAGACGCACACCTGGACACTAGACTGCTACTCCATGTACAGGCAGGGTTTATATAGCTTTCTTGGCTTATCTTTGAGAACATTTTGGGCCAAACTGGTAAGAATTCATTCCAGAATGTTCTCCATCTGTCTATGGCATGTCGCCAAATCTGTCACCCCTGCCTTCCCTTGCCATCTTCTGATCCCGCTTTGCGGGAAAGCTATCTTATGCAGCTGGACATTTTGTAACAGTATCATGACTGAAAGCTCATGCCCATTCGTAATGTAATTTTTTAGATATATACCATCTCTTAAATTGTGTTTCATCACTCTTTACGTAGGCAGTTTTTAAGAGACCAATCCAAAGATGCAAGAAGCATTTCTGTCCTTGTTTTTATGTAAATTTCCAGTGTTACTGAAAATTATATGCGTAACTTGCACAGCGAGCATGTAATAGTAAATCTGCTTTCAGGTGTCTTAGCTAAAATCTGAATACCACAAAGAACCCTTGTGTGTTTGATATTTTACATTCAGTTATAGAAGCATATAAAATGCTTGTGATAGCAACTGGGGAGAGTGTTGTTATACCTAGGAGTGTATTGCACATTGGTAGTTTATATCTGCATGTACAGGGAAGTGAGTGCAAGATAGACACTTTAGTAATTAATATGAAAATAGAAAAAAATATATATATTTGTGGGCCTTTTTCCTTTTCTTTTTGTATTTTTAAATTTTATTCTGCAGGGTTGTTTTGAATAAAGAATACTTTAAATTCAGTATTATAATCAAGGCCAGTACAATCCTTAAAAGTCATTACTTTTTTTAGAAATATTTTTTTTTATCTTTGAATGTTTGTCAAAGTTTGCAAAAGGTTCTTAATTTTGCTTATCTGGCATTACTGCTCTGTTCTGTGGCTAGCAATCTGGATGTAAATTAGAATTTTAGAAAGCCACTCCAGAACAAAAGTTTCAAGGTCCAGATTGGTTGTTCTCCCAACAATTCAAAATAGGTGTTATAAAAAAGTCTAGATTGAAAAAAATGGGGCTTTAATGTTAACTTTATGATCATGTCTCGAGCTATTGTTACAAAACATAAACTTCAAGGTCAAAGCATGAATTTCATTGAAGTCATGCCTTGACCTAGTGTTATCAGTGAATCTGGAAAATTTTTCAAGAAACATGAAAAGGGTTTTATTAAAAAGAAAAAAGGATGTAATGAAAATATTTACCAAACAATATGAAAAGGGTCCTCTAAAATGGAAAGAATATTTTGAAAATATTTACCAGTATTAGAACAGTCTAAACTTGAAGAGGGGCATGAGTCCAATCCTTAGGAGAAAAAAAATGACTAATCGAGTAAGAAAATAATAAACCCTCATTAATGACTGAAACCCAGGGGGTGAATCATGGTAAAATGAAAATTGTTTTAGTTGAATCCTGAGTGGCGTAACCACTTTTATCTGTTCATATATTCTGTCCCTTAGTATATGTTAACTCGTTATTGCAAATATTTTGTTTTCTTGTATCCTTTAGTGATCTAAGCATTACCCTTATGAATAGAAAATTATGAAAACAAACAGCAAGTAATTATACAAAACTAGTAAAAGTTGTTTAATTGCTGCATTTCAACAGTACATGAAAAAAGACATACTACTGTGAGGGTTAAATTCTAAGAGAAAGCTGCTACTCATAACCTCTCTATCTCATTGTCTAATCATATATTCTTTAAAATAATTGTAACAACTTTAAAAACGTAAAGTAAGAAAAGAGACCAAAATCAAATTTAATAAAGTTTGTGGTAAATTTCTAGAAAAGCATTTATGAAAAGTTAATGTAAACCTATCCAAAGG